GGCCGCCGACCGCCGCCTCCTCCCGCAGAGCTGCAAGCAGACGCGGTGCACCTGCCCGGTGAAGATGCGCCATGTGGACCCCAAGCGGCCGCACCGCCAGGACCTCTGCGGGAGGTGCAAAGGGAAGCGCCTCTCCTGCGATAGCACTTTCAGCTTCAAATACATCATCTGAGTGGATGGGTTTTTGTTGAGGGCTCTTATAGGAAACTGCAAGTAGAGCAGATTAGCTTTTGGTTTTGGTGGTGGCATTGTTGAAGGCACTTAGTGAGGTGTAGGTGGGGAAAGCATGCAAATAAAAATACTGCAAAGCATTCTCAGATGATTAGGTGGGTTTGTGCCTGGCTCAGAGTGTGCCTATTGCACCTTCTGTAACTTGCATAGGGGAGGAGCCTACAAATAATGTTTTGTAAATCAGCAGTGGCCTTGGCAGCGGCTGACTCAAGACCTTGTAGAATCTGAGGTGGGGAAAGTATGTTTGTTACTGCGCTTCCCCTTGAACTAATCAAATACTTGAACATCGAAGTTAGATAGTAGAGCATCATTCACAACCAAACACCTCATAGTATTCACTTACTGTGCACACTCGTATTCCCTGTGGAAAGTCTCTGCACCTGTTCTCCATCACTAGCAAATGATTGAGAAATGACGTGTAAAGGCTAGGTTGCTTCTACAGCTGGTGTGTGTTTAGCTAAGCTGGTGTTCTTTTCTGTAGACTAAAGCCAAAGAAAGCTTGTGATTAATGCATCTTTCAGGGGCAGTTCTCACAAACTGCTGGGGAAGGGAGTCACTCCTGTTACAGTCTCTTGGTGAACAAGTTGTTTATCTTTACTTCCACAAGGTTATCAAGAGGAGTGATGCTTCGAAGGCTTGAAGTATGGTACTGCATCTGCCTGGCTTTCTCCTGTACCTGCATTGATGCGCAGGAGCTGTGCACTTAGTGGCTTACACTTGAAGAGTTTGATCTAGTTATGGTTTAGGTGTCTGTGGGAGTTTGATCCATCCCCAGTCACACCCTTCTGGGGTTGGGTTTGCAACTAGGGGTTGTACTTCTGGGATTGCGTAGTAATGGCAGCATCAGCAGGGTTACTCCCAGATGATGCGCTCTCGGGCCTGTTGGTACTGCCAGTGGTAATGACCTCTGCAGGGACACCACACTTCAGCAAGGTGTTAAAAGCTGGCTCTGGGACTATGGCATCACCATCTGAGCAGATTCACAAGCTAGTAAAACCCACACCCCCCATGTCTACCTTATAGCCAAGGAGTCTATCAGATAAACTTGGAGGAAAACATGGTGGGTTTTGTTGTTTTGTTTTGTTTTTTTCCCTGAGGGTGCTAATACAGCTGTTTGTTAATTTCAAAATTGAGCATAATAATGCACAAAGCCTTTTGCAGGGCTCTTGAGGTAGCTTCTATTTGGAAGGACTGATTTATCTTGGCTGTAAAAAACTTATACCTATGCCTAGCCTACTTAATTGAACTCTTATTAAAAGGTGAAGAAGAACCAGTCTGAGTCCTGTGCCAGGTGGTAGTGCATCTCTAAATGGAAGCTAGCATGTATGGCAGGGTAGGCCAAGGTTGTCCTTGTATCAACAGATGTTTAGAGGGGCAGCGAGTGTTAATTCTGTAGGCTTAACTTTCCTGCTGTAGTTTAACATGCCCCTTGAACTTGCTGCAGTAACAAAGGCTTAATGCCTCAGCACCAATTTATTACAAGTAATGTTATTTATTCCTGCTCCATTCATTATTACAGCAGCATGAGGCATGCCAGGAACAAGTAGGCCTGTTTGCCCCTTCCCCCCCAGTGGGGTACCAGTTTATTTCCTGCTTCTACCTGAAGCACTTTCCCCTGTATCTCAGTAAAAGGAAATATCCTGTGCCTTAGCAGCTCGCTCAGACTTCCACAGTTCCATCCTTGTCCTGTTCAGCTTGAAAAGTACAACTGCAGCTGGGCAGTTTCTGTTGCAGGTTTATGTGCCTTGAACTCACCTGTAATTACAGTAATGAGCAGTGACAAGTCTCCAGCTTGAGGAGGAACACAGCTGAGGCCCCCTCTGCAGCAATCTACCCACAGTCCACCTCAATTTGCGGTTGCAGCTGTGATCTGGGATGTCTTTTATTTCTGAATGTATTTATTTCCCTCTAAGGGTATTCTTCAGTATGTTTTCCCACTTGCCTTCCCCATTCTAACAGTTGTAGTCTGTTCCTAATGGATGCAGTGTGGGAGACCAGCTGCGATGAGTCTGTGCACCTTGGTAATGAGTTTGAGAACTTAAGATCTGTACCATGTCAGTATGAAGTCATAGGTCAACCCATAGCAAGATGAGCAGTCAAGTGCTTCCTATTTATAAAGATCTCCTTGCAAGCATTGCTTTGAGGATTCCTTGGTGTGAATATGATGACTCTTACGCAATTAGTATCAGTAATAGCCCGAAGTGAAACTTAGTGCAACTTAAGAGTTGTCATCCCTGCTAATTACAGTCAAAGCAGCAGTTGCTTCCATTTGATAAGAAGCAGAACAAGCCTGGCTGATCCAAGCTGGGTGGGGTGCTTCAATTGCAACTAGTCCAAGCAAGCAGTTGATGAAAGTTCCAAGCAGCAGGTAGCAAGGTTTTGAGGCTCAGAGGAGTCTAGTGCAGTGGACAGAAGTATTAAACAAGATTTCCTCATCCAGTAGTGTTCTGCAGTAGATGCAGCTCTACATGCCATTTGACTTAAACATATATTCAGAGCTTTTACTGCTTGATGCCAAAGTACAGTTCTGTATCCTTTTCCACCTTACTGTTCTGCCATGTCCTTGACAGCGTACACTGTGTATCATGGGCACTGCTGCCTAGACTCAGCAGAAACAAGGAAAGCTACGCATGACCTATGTGATTATGCAAAACACAAAGGAACAGCTCTCATGCTGCCAGTTCTTAAAAGGTATCTATCTTGAACTTGTCCTGTACAGCTTTTTCATGAAGAGATTCTTTTGCATGTGTTAACTTAGTCAGTGCTGTATTTGCTCCGCTCCTACAGAAGGTGTCTGATATTTTACTTGTTTCTAGACAGGCTTTACCATTTTTACCATTGCTTCAGATTTGGCACAGAACTGGCACCAAGTAATGGAGGTTGACAGCGTATGAAGTAGTTAGGAATGAGAGAGTAATTTTGGAAAAGCTTCATAGAGTTAAAGCAGTATGGAAGACAGTCAGCTGACATGATTCTGCACAGGGCAGGTTCACTAGCCATTGTCAGTGGAGGAAGATACATAGCATAAGGAACTATGTACACAAATTCAAGTTTGAGTTGCGTGAGAAATCCTGCAACAGAAGATGTCTAGAAAAACGCTGTCAGCATTGACAGGACACAAAAGGAAACCCCATGATTGCAGGACACCCCCAGCCTCTATTGTCAGTGTTTAGTCTGTTTAGCTAAAGTATTTAAACTCTAGCTTGTAAAAATACACAAAATGACAGATACAGTGCCTTTTTATTTTTACAAAAAAAGCTGGTAAAAGATGATGTAAATAAAAGTGTAATGCACCCCCTAAATAAAACTACTTATCCCCTGTAAAGACTTATTAAATAATTAAGAACACCATCTACAGTACCACAAAACCATCAAAATAATTCAATTTTATCAGGGACAGGGGAAAAAAATACAGTGATTATGGATGTGCCTTGACCAGTTACAGAGCTTGTTAGGATAATGTAACTACTGTCAGCAGTCCAACAGCGTGCACAGTGCCTTCAGTTAATGCGTTTCAGCATAATTACATTTCTAGCGGGGTCCAATTCCCCATAAAAGGCAGAGCTAAGAATTTCAGTTCAACATTCTAAACTCTGGAATTAGAGCCCATTAAAAAAAATCACAGTGGGTAAGAGATGTATATAAAAATACTGGATGTTACTTTCAAATCACAGGAATTGTGGGACTACATTCTTCTCCGGGTTTTCTTCCTTTTTTTTTTCCTTTTTTTTTTTTTTCTTTTTTTCTACAAAATGTTATTGGTTTCAACAGAATCCAGTTTGTTTTATGCTACAGACTTTGACACTGAACTATGAGTATATTGCCTGTTTGCATGTTTTGGTAGTCAGTCTTTTTGTTTTTATATATAGTCCCAATTCCTTAGGTTTAAGTTGAGTCATGAAGCTGCATATACGTGCATTCAAACTCTTTGAACCCTGCAGACTATGCAGACTGCAAGTAATGTGTGTGACTACTGACAGGGAGAACCCCCCCCCTTCCCCTCATAGCTTTATACACCTACTGTCTTAACAGTGCATTGCACAAATTTACAAGAAAAATACTGGTTTTGCACTATACAGTTTCTAGAATATATACAGAATAAAATAAGTTAACTTCTAATGAGAATTGCTGATGGGCAGCATATATCTTTAATATACATTTTAAAGTCTCTGCAGGCAGCTACTTTTTGGTTAGTTGTTATCAATATTTGTAACATAAGCACTGATCAGAGAACTGAGCAGCATTCCAATAAAGTTAACAGATATATTATTTCTTTTAGAAACACTGGGAAATCCCAGTTTAAAATATTATTAAATGTCCTAACATTTACACACTATGAGGATTAGATCTAATAAAATAAAATTTCTTCAAAAATAATCTTGCAGCTCTTTCAAGCATGCTCTGAGACCTCATTTAACAATCATCCATACCTTCAAAAAACAACTGCCACATAGCCATACATTCTAACTCACACACATCATTTCCTTGATACAGACAACAAAAGCAAATAAAACATTGAGAAGTCAACTGGTTTTGCAGTCGTTAAGTCATTCTACTCATGTTTGACCGCACATTCTTCATGGCATTGCAAAGTGTCTCATTAGGTATTAGTTGATTATATTTACTACTGCTGGAAAGCCAGGAAGCCTTGCAGGTCTTCAGCCAAAATAACCCAGCCTTGATTTTAGCCTCATCCCACCTGCAATATTGCTTCAACCTTTAGAGGCTGTTACTGCAAACACCATTTATAGTCCTGTTACAACAGAACTACACAGGAGTTACAACAGAAGATAATGCATATGTATGCATTACAGTTAAGCCCTTTTCCTTTCATGTAGTTTTTATACATAAATTTAATAAAAAAATACTACTGCCACACAGGTACTGTGTAGAAAGAGCAGTCAAGTAAGATGTTCAATTCTCAGGTTTTTACTCTTGTTGAAACAATTTCTTGCTGTGATGAAACTGTGTTGGCTGGCTGGAGGGTTTTGTTTTTTTTCTTTTTTTCTTACTGTTTTCATGAAAGGTGCTCAATAATAGTCTGAAGCATCTTCATCATCATCTTTCTAAATGACAGCTGTTCAGAATCCAGTGCTCACAAGATTGATTCCTGGTTTGATCTTCCCTAGAAGCTGATAGGATTGCACCATGCGTAGAGACTCTCGAATTTCCAGATTCAGTTCCATCAGCTTTGAGCTGGCCTCAGACATGTCCTGGTTGGAGCCTACTACTGCGAAGCTACCAGTCTGACCAAGTGTCTGATGACGGAAGTATATGTGCAGCAATGTTTGAACTGGGTCATCTTCAGAACTGCCAAAGATGTCATGGGGCCAAATAGATCTGTAAACACACAATTTGGATTTAAACATCAAAAAAATAATCAAAATCTTTACGTGTTCTTTAAACAGACATTTGAGCAGAAGACACAGGAAAGCGCAAGGTCAGTATTTCTTCTGTAGAGTCCTGGTAGTTAACAGATAGTTTTCTCAGAAATTCAAAAGAACAAGTACTACTAGAATTGCTTTTTTCTAAAATTGCAAAATGTGTATGAACAAGCTGTAATGAAGCAACAGTACTTGTCCTTTTCAATAAGGGCATCTAGCAAGAGATGAAAATAACCCTGGAATAGTGCCTATCCCTATCTGTAAATTAAAAAGGCCCATTAGCAAACTCAGGTCTGAAAGCAATCCGTAAACACTTACCTGAAAGCCTTGACCTGTGCTACGGCTGACACAAACTCCCTGTTTCTCAGGGTTTCAATGAGAGAGTGAATAGCCGTTTCCGTGCTAGCTTGGGAAGCCTCTGCAATTTCGATTTCTTCGATACCACTGTCAGATGCAGCCTCAGCCTCCTTCAGACAGCTCTCCAAAAGAGCAAGTTCGTCAGACATGTTTATGACCTAAAACAGATACAAGAGTTTCCATTTCTAAGTTTAAATGTATTTTCAGCCAAATTGACTTTCAGCAGTTCAGAATTACAATTTTCCTCCTCTTTGCAACTATAACTGAGAGGCAGAAAAAGTACATCCAAATATTTGCTGCAGTTGCCTAAGTATACACTCAATTTAATGGCCCGAGCATTCATGGTCAGGTGTTTGGGCTTTCTCCTGAAGTGTCTATGTTAGTTAGGTCTTTTAAAACTTGCTTCAAAAAATACATTTCTTTCTTTTCTCCCCACATCACTTAATTAAACTGACAAGAAGAATTAAAAGTACAGCAGCAACTGTTTTATTACAGGACAACTTAAACATGAAGAAAAAATGTGGAAGACTGGTAACCCATCAGAATAACTGTAGTGCAGCCTGTGTATATACTATCTTTGGCTTTAGCTCCAATGACAGTGACAAAGAAAAGTCCAGCAATCAGAATATGATTTTACATCTGACTAACTTAAGCAAAAGGTGGGACAGTGGTGATGCTGACCTTCCACAACATTCTCCAGACAGAAATTAACTCACTCATTTGCAGCCTCTACGAAACCCTGAAATCTAAGTGAGGAAAGATGCATCGTATTTCCTTAAGCTACTCTAAAAACAATAACTTTCACCCAGATTTTTCATTTTCCTCCACAACAGAGCAAGCAAGACAAGGCCTGTTTGTTTTTATTTCTTGCTACCACTATTTATTGCGTTACAGACCCAGGGGAGAACATTCAGAAGCCATTATTAATAGCATAATTCAGATTAACTCAATTAATGTCACATATGTACATGTGCACATCTGAAGGACACATTTTACTTCTAAAGTTAGTACAACAAAAAATCAGGTGTAAGATGTCTAGAACGTATTACTAACTGCACGTAGGATGGGAGCTAAGATTGCAGAGTGATTGAATGGTGGCTGAAGTGACAGAGTTCTATAAATCAGCTGGTAGCAAATGATGGTGTTTGCAATAGGAAACACTGGCATGATGGAAAGGGGCTTCATCACAGAACACTGTTGATTGGAGTTGATGTGCCCTGATTGTAGCTTGATTAGAATACACCAGGAGTTCTACTGAAATACTTCAAATCCTCATCACTGGACTCCCTGCACTCCTGCCTATTTAAGAGCTTCCAAGCTGTACAAAAATCAACACAGATAATTGAACATCTCAGAAAATTCTTGTGAGCTCTACTTAAACCTTTTATTAATTGCCTATACAAAAAACAGTTTGTACACCCCTTCCGCTTCTAAAAAGATGTCCCACTGATGAAAATGTTGTAAAAATGTATTTTAAAATGGTTTGGCTCTAAAATGTCAACAATTACTAGCTAAATGGCATGGTTTTCATTACCTCTGCTTCTTTTTTTATTGTTTTTACTTGGCTGATGAGCTTGCAATAGGCTTGGAACAGAAGCAGCAACTGGAAATGTAACTTGTATAGTCTCCGACACAACTCCAGCTCCTACAAATGTAAACAACATTATTATATTCAGGAAGTGCACAACATCTACTATCCAATATAAGAGACAATAAATGACAACTTCAGTACAGAATTTGCAAGATTAAAAGTAGTTATTTGGTTACTGAAGAAAACGCCAAGAAGATTTAGAAGCTAACGGAGCAGGATGCCAATGAAAAGCAGATGAAAGCTTCATTCAGTTCTAGATTTACAGGTAGCCTCTCTCACATAGGTTTAAAGTTTACGTTTTAATAAGAAGTTACATTTCCAAGAAGGGGGATGGAGTGGGATGTGATTGAAAAGGCATTTTGAAAAGTCATTTTCCCAAGATAAGAGTTTCATAGATCACTTACGTGTATTGTTGATATTTTACTGTTTTAAATTCAAAATCTAATAGCCCAAAGAAGCAGTTGTGGTCTGTAAGTATGAAATCTTCCATAATCATTAATATAAATACATAAGCACAGTATATAACCTGGTCTTTAGCTTACAACTGCCTCATGGAGTAAGAGAAGAGGAATTCTATTCCTGGAAGCAAAAATAATTTTTCCTTTATGAAGGTAGCTCTGATTCTATTTTAGGAAAAGACGTGATATATTCTTAAGGAAATGAAGCAGCAGCATTAACTTATGTGCTATCTTGCTTCCATTTTTATGTGTCTAAAACACTAGTAAGTGCACTATTAATACTACTTTACATACAGACATAAAAGCTAGTGCTAATGGAATAATCTTCTATAACATTTTACTAACTACAGGATCCTATTATCTATCAAGGACCAACAGTTCAATGGGTTAGATGATGCAAAATTGAAGCACATAGCATTTTTGTAGTAGTCTAGGACAAGACATCACTATGTCACAAATGAACGAGACAGATGGAGACCAGTTTGGTGACTGGCATGGTTAAGTATGTGATAAATCAAGAACCGTCACTTACTGCTAGAATTTCCATTTGCTAAGCAAGAAGATGAGCAGGTCACAAAAATACAAAGAAAGAAAAGAAGATCAAGAATTAGTGTAGGAAATAATTTTAATTAGGGTAAAAGATGTCCTAGGTAAAATGGAGGAAGAAATACAAATAACATGCTCCAAATACACCCAGAATAGAAAAAATTAACAGTCTGAATTTGAACTGAAATCACTTGCTACTATAGCTAGACAGCATTGGCTTTGTTGTCCCACAACATGAGGTACTTCACTTACAATCCTGTCTAGTCTTTATACATTGTGTTGTCTTAGAGGTATGCAAATTCAAGGAAGTAAAATTCAAGGACACTTAGGTCTGAACGTCTGTACAATCTTCTTTCTTCTTCTGTACTACTATAGTTTAAGCAAAAATAATGCCTTTAAAAAATTGAGATATAATGTTAATTTGGATTCTGAATCAGTTTAGAAAATTCTTGGTTTTGCCAAACCCAATTCTCAACACCTCATTGTGCGATTTCTGTCATGTTATTGTACTTGGTTTTTACAAGCTATTTCAGAAAAATGGTTGGGAGAGCAGGACTGGAAGGGAAATCATCAGAAAATGTATTTGGCAGCCTAGGGACAGGAACTTTTGTGCTTTGTAAAGCACTAAGAATATTGATGGCATTTCAGCAAGTAAAATGGTCACAGTGAACACACAGAGATGCAACTGATGTCTGATTCCAACAGACAGAAGCAGTTGAGCTTTACTAAGCACACAGTTACACACAATGTGTGTAAGAAATGGTGTGTGCTTAACTATAAACATTTCATGGTTTTGTTCTGTACTCTATGTCATTATATACATAACATAGCACAATTACTATATAAGCAAAAACCTCTGATGGACATAACACTGTGAAGAAATAACATCCTGAACTGCCAAACTGGGCAAGAATTCCCTGCTCAATGAAACAAGAGAATCGGACTTTGAGGAATGGCGGGGTTGATTACTTAATATTTTTAGCTAGTAAGTTTCAGTGTTCTTTAAGCCAAGTGTCACTATTACTGTAAGCCATAAATAATTCCTCTCCCCCAAATCACACCTTGATAACTATTCTAAAAATCTAAGAGAGGTTTTGCTTTAGAAATGTCTTTGTACTGCTTCAGTGTCTTTCGCATACTTGCTCACTGGAGAAAATCTGATTTTTCTACCTGCCAGTCCTGTACGAACAGTCTAGCCAGAGTCCAGACCCGTTCTTTCAGGCTCGCATGTACATACTAATAGCAAAAATCCAATAATTAGATTTACTTGCAAGTCTGCTGGCAATGCATAAGCCAGAACAGAATTCATCTCGCTATTTCTTAGCTGTATCGACCACAGTGCTAAAAATTAGTAAGAAAATCTTATTTGTTAGTGAATGAAAAATATCTGTTGAATGAAGCAGCCCTGTTACCCTGAGCAAGAAACACAAGCTTACTTTTCGCATTGACTGGTTGACTGTATAAACTTTGCATGACACTGTATTTACAAGGACTTTTGAAACAATGATCGTACACTTGGTAACTTCTCAATCTTCCCAAGTCACTACAAGCTTCTGTGAATAAATTCACAACTTCTGTAAATGGTGCATGTTTATGAAGCAAGATAATAGGACTCTGCCTTTTCCATGGGTACTACATATTCAACTGACTTTAACTGAAGCTGGAAGTGCAAGGAGCGCGTAAGAAAATGCATGCCTTGCAGGTTAGGATTGAAAATCAAAACAGGTCCTCACAAATAACGTGAATGGTCGCATAACCCCTTTCCAGAGGCTACCTTCAAACCCTGCAGAAACAGGTAAGCATAGACAAAACTGCCTTACTTGGAACCCTGGATTCTTTCTATACATGCTAAATGAAAGCCTGCATGTGGATGTTTCTCCATTTCTTAGCTTCCCAAACTATACGGTGGGAACAGCAACATTGACCTTTATGGTAAGAATGATTATATTGCAACAGCTAAATTTTAGAATGGTTTCTTGGTGTATATAAACAACATTCTAAATACAGACTGAAATATATAAATGCTGCTTTTTTATTAACATATAGAATATTTACCATATTGTAAATGTGCAACTTTGATGCAATATAAAAATCAATAGTATATTATCACATATTTCACTGTTCAAATTCAGGTGCATTTTGTGATTGAATTAAAAAAATATACATATATATATATATGAGAACAAATGAAAACTGTGTAAAAGAAGAAATAGTCCATGTACACAGTAGGTATTTCTATTGCTGAACACTATGTTTTCAGCAGCAGAAATATGACCAAGTACATCAACGACTAGAGTTCCACTGAATAAAAGGAATAAAATTCCTCCTTTTTCAGCATGGATTTGGGATTTTTGTCAAAATGTCACTGCGAAAAGGTACATTCATCTGCTACCTGCAATTCTACTTTCTTACATCTTTCACTGTTCTTACATCTTTCACTGACTCTAGATGGCAGATTCCTTGTGCCAACTGATAGGTTTTGGATTTCCTTTTTTATCTACAGCATCAATACTATGCAGCTGTCGTTTGGAAAAAAAAATCCTACTCTACTTGGGGAAAAGCTATCACTTACTACAGCAATTAGTAATATTAAACATGAATGACTGCCATGCAAATACATATAAAATATTGAACTAAGATTAATAGGTTACTTCACCTATTGTTGTTAGATGATCTTTTGACAGAAGTGTTTCATGAGATTTTTGCCATACTGCTGCTTTACTCCCCGTTCCTTCCCACTGAAGTAATGGCTCCAGAAAGTTCATATGCATTTATATAGTACTAATTATATTAAATTCAAAAGAGGGTTGGTTTTTTTTTGCTAAACAATTCATCTGAGCACATAAGCAGAATGCTAATATTTTTTCTTCTAAAAACAACTGCAGAAAAGCAGGCTTGCTGGCACACAGATGGTATCTAGCCTGCTTATCTAGTCAGTGTTATTAAGTCTAGAACCCAAGACAGGTTGCCAACTTTTATTAAAAAGAGCCTTTTTTATTAGAGCACTACTTCATAAGAGTCTGAGTATCCAAAAGATAGGATGATAACGGAAATGGAAAACTTTTAATATTTTAAATCTCTCTGAAAATATTGAAACTTTTGTGCAACAGATATAAAGATGGTTTTTAATCTCATATCCGGAGACTCACAAATGACATACACCTACCTGGGCATCTGTGTTGGCACCATAAATACCATCATCAGTACCAAATGTTCTTTTGCAGTCTTCCAGCCACTGGAAAATAAATATAAACATGATTAAACATCTTCTGAAACAGAGTGAACCGAAGCCTGGTGCAATTGTGTAAGGCACTTCTTCACATCTGCACATTCTCAGATTACTTATGAAACTGTGATATGAAATTAATTGTTTACTGAAGTTGTTTCCACTAATGATGTCCACTCTCATCTATCACTTTATAGTTTTTAATGTGTCCCTTCTGATGTACATTTCCTATAGCCTTCATTATCCCAGACAGGGACAGTAGACTTTAGCATAAACACTTTTGTGTTTGAATTTGGGTACTGTTGCAGTGAGACGCATGAAGGGTGGAGGCAAAAAAATCCCTTTCATTAAATAGGATCATATTTCCTCTTTACTTGCTGCACAAGGTTTACAGCAACATGATTAAATATATGTTAAAATATAGCACTAATTCAAATTAGAGAGGAGGAGCAAGACTGGTCCATTTCTTGGGACTGCTTCAGAAACAGAAGGAAATAGAGCTCTCCTGTGTAACTAGATGCAAGTGCGGGTTTACTGAAGAGAAAGGAAAAAAATATTTCAATGGAAGTTTAGCACCACCTCCAGATCATACAAGACAGGAAGATGAAGTACGCAGATTCCCCTCCCTTTCATGAATAGAGGGCTATATTTAACCCCTGTTCCTACAGCAGACAAGTTTATTGATTTCAGTGAGCTATTTCTTCTTTTAGCTTTGACCGACCATGCAAATTCAAAAGCCTATAAAGCATTTGCAGAATCAAATATGCTCTTACTGGACAATAGGAACTGATGATCTCACAGACACACTGCCCAGCATATTTTTCTGTACAATGTAAACAACTGCAAGCATGAGGTAATTCAGGTATTACCGAAATGAGAATGCATCATGTTGAGATAAAGTGCAGATTATCTTTTGAAATGAAGAACAGGCTCTATACATCTAAGAAAGAATAATTTGGCATACTGTATTCTCGATATCTGGAGTCTCACAGGAAATCTTAGTGACCTTTTTCTAACCTTTGTCTGATGCAAGAAAAAGAAAAATGTGCTTTCCCATCTGCTCAATTTAATAAAGGTTACTTAGTGAATTAACTAGGCCTGTGTGCTTATCAAGAGGAGAAATGGAATTCTTTAAACACCGCAGTGTCAGTTTCAATTACTGACATGGATACCAATGTACACAGCAAATCTTGTTTTTCTTTTTACCTGACAGCATCCATCAGTAACAGAGCAATAGATTTGCACTGGAACAAACAGCATGAGCAACTGGGAATCTACTATTTATTTTCATATACTGCTCTTTCAAAATCTTTTTTAAATCTTAAATCCAATCTGAATAAAAGATGTGCCTAGAACATTACAATATACTATAACCTTTTATTTTCTATTACATATACCTTCTTCAGTATCTTTCTACCTAATACACACATGAAATCAAAGCAGTTTCCTTGCAAGGAAATAGAATAGTAGCTCCAAAAGAGTGACAAAATTAATTTGCTAAAAATCTACATAATATATGTTTAGCATAGTATAAAGACCTAGATTTTCTCTTTTGGAAAAGCAGTATACTGTGAGAAAATAATCTTCTTTATAAGTTTGCTTTACATCAGTTTATGTTTTCCCCATATATCTCCTAAGAAGATTGAGGGTGAAGAGCATTCCTGAAAGTATAATGTAGGAAAGTCTGTGTTTGGTCTTGGTCATAGCACAGGTTGGTTTGTCAGATTAACCCCAAAGACGACATCCCAAACCCCCAAACCACCCCTATACTACCAGTACCTTTCTCAACTCAGTACATAGGTAAGAGTGTCAAGCAACTGCATCCCAAGCCTCTTACTTTTTAAATTTGATTCATGTGAATGCCAGTACAACACACAGCACTGTCAGTGACAAACATCATCTACTAGGGTCAGCTTTAAACTATTTCTCATTAAAGAAGTCAAGATACAGAATTTTCCCGTGGTTGATTCTAGAGGATGCCACATTAATGTGCATTTATGTTAATTTATATTTATTTTATTATACAATAGCCCAATCAGCTTAGTTTGATAATTTTTCTACATGTTTCTAAAAATAAGGCAAGGATCTGCAATAAGCTCATTATGTGTTTTGCAGTAGTACTTTCAGAATGAATAGGTACATAACACAATTGTCTGCAATAACATTAATTCATATTTGACTGAAGGAAGACTCTTTCAATCATTCCCTCTACTCTGTTTAATAGAGCAGAGTAAGAAAACCAGTAAGACATACCTGAGAAGTAGCTTCGGAAGGTTTAGTCTATATATACTATATACTATGTAATACATACCCTCAAAAAAATTGAGGACCAACAGCTGAAGAAATGCTTTTTAAAAGAATTTTTAGAAAACTTATCCAAGATAATTAGCCACTACTTACAAACTAACATACTAAATAAATGTACTAAATGAGCTTAGTGACATGCTATCAATAGTCTGAAATGACTGGTTGAAGCTATACATTTTTTCCTCTCCAGTACTGCTTCTATTTATAAATGATTAAATAAAAGTAAAACCCTGGCAAAATGTTTTCAGTTAATTCACAACATTTCCATTCATCCTGTGAGAACTTTTTTCCTGCTCCAGTCACTCACAAATCCTGTGGCTGAAGACAGGCTGACCACAGAAACATGTTACTGGACGTCCTTTTGACAGCTGCACTACAGAAAAACAACAGTCTTTCACTATGATAAGATGACAGAGGCCAAACTGATACCCGTATTCATTTATCAAGAAACGAAAATAAAAACAAACTCTTAATATCCAGCAAGGATTTATGTCCATATGATATATGGCAGTGCAAAATTAGTTAAAAATACACGAAGTGAATTCATGCCTATATGAAAGGGATGCAATTTTAACTCTTCATATTTTCACAAATCAAGGAAACAATACCATTTGTCATTGCTATGCCAAACTGTAGGCTAAATGAGAAGTTTATATAAGGAGAATTCCTCAATGTTTGGACAGTCACCATTCTGAATGCACACACGAGTTCCTCTGTACCCTGCCTCAAATCTCCCCATCTCATCCTGGGGCAAATCAGTTAACTTCTCTTTGCTTCAGTGTTGCTCTCTAAAATGAGGAATAAAATACATTTTCTCATAGGAGTGATGACAGCATTATGCATTGGAGCTTGTCAGACATTAAATATTACATTAAGTAAGGTAATCTTAGTCATTAGATGAGCACTTTGGTTCTGATTAAGTCTAAATGGCAAAATGTAGCTCATTATATTAGACCAAATAAATTGTTATTACCACAGAGCAGGGCAAAAAATGCAGCAACTCTTCAG